CTGTCTGCTTCTGTGAAGATTTATTGTCTTGGAAACCTTATGGAGCTTTTGTGCTCTGTCCTATAAGGTTGCTATGAGTAGGAATCGACTTGACTGAAGTGTTTTTTTTTTTTTTTTTTCTTATTTTTATTTATTTATGAAGTTCCAAATCTTTTTCTATTATTTCCTTTCTGTTTGGAGAACATCTGTTAGGTATACTTTAAAGGTAGGTTTGGTAAAAGTAAATTCTCTTAGTTTTCCTTCATCTCACAATGTCTCTATTTCCCTTTCATTCCTGAAGGACATTTTCATTAAATAGGGAATTCATGGTTGACAATTCTTTTAGCACTTGAAAAATATTGTGCCATTTCTGCCTGGCATCCATGATTTCTGATGAGAAATCTGCTGTCATTTGAATAGGTGTTTATAGGTAATGTGCTGTTTTTTCTCAGCTATTTTCAAGATATTTTCTTTGTCTTTAGATTTTTCAGACTTTTATTATGATGTGTTGTGACATGAATTTCTTTAGGTTTATCCTATATGAGCTTTCTTAGCTTGAATCGTTATGGGTTTATAAAATTTGAGAGTACTTCAGTCATTATGTCTTCAAATATTTTTTCGTTCTCACTCCTTTTCTGGGACTTCAATTGTATGAATGTTAGATACTTTGTTATTGTCCCACAGTTCTTTGTTGCTGTGCTCATTTTTTCCCCATAAAATTTCTCTGCTTTGCAGATTGACCGTTTTTATTGTTCTGTTTTCGAGTTCACTGATTCTTGTGTCATATTTATTCTGCTACTGAGCCAATCCAAGAGTTTTTTCGTTTTAGTATTTTCAGTTCTATAGTTTTTACTTGTTTCTTTGATATCATTTATTTCTTTAGTACAATTTTTAATTAAAAAAATTGTTTCAAGAGTATTTGTAATTGCTTTATGAAGCATTTTATTATGACTGCTTTAAAATCCTTACTGATTATTTCCAACATATGTGCCTCTTTTCATTCTAGTTATTTTACCTATTATTGGTATGAAGGGTGATTATCATTTCTATCCTAGACATTTTGGATATCACATTAGAAAACTCTGGGTCTTATTTAAATTTACTATTTTGATAGATAGTGGCACTATTTACATTTATTACATAGGTTCTGGACTACTTTCGTGGGCTGTAGTTCCAATGACAATTTGATTTCCAGAGCCTGGGCAGTGCTATTTTGGTCTGCTTTTTCACTTAGTGCCACTGATGGTCTTGCTTGATCCCTGCTGTTGCTGCCTGGGGGTTGGAAGGCACTTCTCTAAGCTGCACAGCACGACTAGATTGAGGCTGGGAGATGTGGAGCCTGGAGAGCAGAGACCACTTACCTGGACCTACTCAGCAGGCATCCTAATGTTGGTGGGGGTCCTGGTCATTCTCCACTAGAGTGGAGAATAGCACTAGGGGAGAATAGCATCCTGTGAGCTCCCTTCTGCCACTGAATGGGATGGTAAGAGATGGAAGTCCTGGCAACCCTAGAATTTTTGTGCATCCTTTTTGTTCTTCATTGGGATCTTTTTATTTGAAATTGAAACATCATTTTTACTTCCTACTGGAATCATATTTTCATTGTGAATCAGACAACAGACTTTCCAAGTTTCTGAAACTTGCTTCCCTCAGATCTTCCTTCACCCTTACCCATTGTTGTTTGTCTGAAGGTCTTTTTCTTTTTGGTCATCCCAAGTGGCTCTTCCTCATTGGTTAAATCCACTCCAGAGTAGATATTTCCTTTATGGCTTCTTGTACCCTCTAAAAGATAAAACAATCACCCTAGAGAGTAAAGAATTTATCAGATCCTCCACTTTGCACATAATGAGTCAAGTGATGCCCACAGATTTAAAGTTCCCTGTACCTAAAATATCTTGTATCTATGTCAGATGTTAGATCTGAATTAGAAAAACATTCCAGGTCTGGGTGGGCATTCATCAATGACTTTCTCTGTCTCCTTACTCAAATACACTCCACCCTCTGATTTGAAAATATCTACACATTCCATCTTGTGCTTACTCCCACCTTCAACCTCAATAACCAAGTCTATATACCAGTCTCTATAACCCAGTCCTGTGTCAGCCTCATGATCCTTGGTATACCTGAGCCCATCATTGGAGCCACTGTGTCAGTCCATCTCGTTGAGGGTCTTCCCCTTCCTCACTGACCCTCCACTTTACCAAGCATGATACCCTTCTCCATGGAATGGTTCCTTCTGGCTGCACCTAAGTAGGTGAGATGGAGATCCATCCTTAACATGATGGATATTTGGAGAGATGAGGTCCTAAATTGTGTTCCCAGTGCTTCTAACACTTCCAGACTTGCTTTGTTGAACCCTGCACATGTCCAGCACCCAAACCTTTGTAGTCACCCATTCATTCATCTATTCAGTCCTCAGCTATCCAGCACATATTATGTGCAAGACTTCATATTGGTTCTGTATATACAGTTCAAGAAACTTCCAGGATATGTGGGGAGTTTGACTCAGTTCTGGGTGATATGGGGAAGCAGAAGAGTGCCCCTCAATTCAGGGGAATCAGAGACAGTATTTTGGAACAGGAAGGGTTCTACCGTACTCCCAAAGGATGAGTAGGAATTAGTCATGTGAAAGGGAGTAAGAAGGACTGTGCAGCAAAGGAAATACATTGCTCAAAGTCTCTGAGTCAGAAGGGTGTAACTGAATCGTCTGGCTTCTCTGTTGCTCAGGGTCATGTCAAAATGTGGTCTTGAAATTCAGTCAAAGGACAGCTGGCCTACAGCAAGCCTTCATATGCCAGGTGTGGACTTTGGTTTGTCCTGAGGACAGTGAATAGCCATTGGAGGGCTGGAGGCAGGGTAGTAATTTGATCAAATTATATGCTCGAGAGCTGCTGTGTGGGTCTGGATTCCAGAGTGAAGGAGTAAGAACAGAGTGGGGAGACACTCAATCTTAGACAAAGTGCCACTAAACTAAAAAGCCAACCAATCAATAAAACTACTCTTTTTTTTAAATACATATAACATCTTTTTATTTTTTTTAAGAGCTTGTTTTACATTCAACATTATGTGTACATTTAGTTTCACTCCCCATTTACCATGTTCAACTCTAACCCAGTATCCTCCCTTTCCTACCCTGTAACCCTCTCCCTGTGCCCCTCATATTTATGCACTCCTGTTTGTCCTGCATTTCCTCAATTTGAATCTTGATCCTCTGGTGCCCCATGGGCTATTGCTCTAAGGGATGTATTACCATAGAGTATGTGGGTGCACCATCCTGGGTTGAGTGATCTGCATGTACATTTTGTTAACTATTGGGCTGAGAGCCAGCCCCAGGGGTGTGTTTTATTCCAGGTGCAGAATGTATTCCAGGGCCATAGCATTGGAGGTCTCACCAGATTTTATCTGACCAGTGATTCTGGTCTTTATTGATGAAACTACTGTTCTATGTGCTCCTCAGAGCTATCCCTAGACATTAAGGTGAGAATTCAGCAGGGAGGTCCTCTTCTGCATTTGCTGAAAAGAATATCAGTGGTGATACTATATGGACAATGAAAAAAGACCCAACATTCCAATGTTCATATCAGAACAGTCAACTGAAAACCCACCTTCACTTATACTCCATCATCCTTCCCCTGGTCTGCTTACTTATGATCTCTTTTTCCCTTCTGTGCTACCCTGTGGCTCATTTCAACTGGGATTTTCCAGGGGATAACAGCGGAAGTTAGCAAGGCAAACTGAGTCTTGGAGTTAGATGGGACTGAGGTCACATGCTAGCTACGTTACCTTGAGCAAGTTACTTAACTTCTCTGAACCTCAGATCTGTCCTCCATGATCACATCAAACTTTCAGAGTTGCTGTGAGGTTTAGAAATATTATTGGTAAAATGCCTAGCATAGGTGTTCAACCTTCTGTAGGCTGTGCCTTTCCTTTGATGCCTTGAAACGGGGAGACAACTGGTGGGGAAAAGACTGGAATCAGGAGCCCTGGTAAAATGTTCATTACAGCCTTTTCTCTAATGTCCCAAACTGGACACAGCTCATCAATAGAAAAAGAGTTGAATGAATTGTGTTTTTTGCCTCAAGGGGCTATTGAAGCCAATTTCCATTGTGTCAACTGCCACTCTTGGCAACTGCATGTGTATCAGAGTAGATAGAACTGTGCTCCGTATGGTTTTCAGTGGCTGATTTTTCAGAAGTAGATCACCAGGTCTTTCTTCTGAGGTGCCTCTGGGTGGACTCAAACCTCTAACTTTTGGTTAGCAGTTGAGTGTTAATCATTTTCACCACCCAGAGACTCCCTAGTGAATATTAGGCAGTAATTAGAAAGAATGTTAGATCTTTTGCTACAGAGAGAACTGAAAGTATGTCCATGAAAAATTATTAATTGCAAACAGCAATGCACTTTATTATAGGTACTATATCATTTGTGTAAGATTAAAAGAAAAACACCCAATTCTATCTATATGTATATGGGTTTGTTAGTTTATATGTGGAAAAAGTTTGGGAAGAAAGCCCCAGAATGCTAACAAAGCTTACCTCAGGGCGTTAGGACTTCAGGGGGTTGAGGGAAAATAATGAACTCTTTAAATTCCCCTCTTTATTGTTTGAAAAACTGTATCAAGCATGTTTTACTTTTATAATGAATATTTCTAAAGGAAAAAAAATGGAGACCTATACATGAATTCCACATCTGCATGTTATAACCTAATAAATTTAAATTATTTAATTTCTCCAGACCTCACTCATTGCTTATAAAATAGGAAAAATCCTTCTCCTGGAATTTTGAAACTTAAACATTTTAATTCATTAGTTTTTTTTAATAAACACATACTGAGAGCCCACTATGGGCCAACCTCTGTGCTGGAGTATCAGCAGTGAGCAAGGTCCACACAACATCTGCTAATGAGAGCCTTACCCTTCTAGCCACCAACATGTGGTGGATGTTCGTCCAGCCACACCCATGAGTGACCCACAGTAGAACCTATTGCCTTGTGGAAATAGGATGGGAAGAGAATTGGGAGGATGGGCCTTTGGTGTTCCATTCCACCTCACGGTAAGCCCTCTGCTCACACAAGGGAGCTCACTGGTACAGGTTGGAACCATCTGCTTTATACCCTCTGCAGCAACCATCTCTGCCTGGGTTATGTTTCAGATCCAAAACCCAAAAAGAGAAATAGGATGAACTGCTTCTTGGCTCTGGTGGTCATCTACCTGATTCTGCTCACCGCGGGTGCTGGGCTGCTGGTGGTGCAAGGTAAAGCATCCTTAGTCCTGTTTGGCTCCTTGAGTGACCATATATGGTCCCTAACTCAGGACTTAGATTGACTGGAAAGCTTTGGGCCATGGCTGCCAGGCTGCTAAGAGAGAGTTCAAATCCTTGATAGTCACAGTGATGGGGAAAGGGAAAAGAAAAGGGATTAAGTGCTTGTGTGTGTGCATGTGTGTGCACGAAAGAGAGAGAGAAAGCCAATGAGCATGTGAGCCTGTGTGTATCTAAAGCAGTGAAATGTGCTATGATTTCACAAGGGATACATCACGTACACCTTACAGGTAGAGTTTTCTAACTTCTAAGTGGCAAGAAGCTTTGTTGATTGGAGTGTTCACTTTAACATGATTTTATTGTTGAAGTCTTTCCATTTTTAACAGGAAACAATTCCACCAGCAGACATTGAAGTCACTCAAGAACACTATGCTCACAGTTATCATCAACACATATCATGTGCATATTGAGGTCACACATGAGTGCCACTGGTACCTACTTAGGTCAGACCAGTATGTTGCCTGCCTAGTGCCTAAGGCATTTGACTGCTAACCAGAAGGCTGGCAGTTCAAACCTATCAGCCACTCCTTGGAAGGAAGGCTGGGCAATCTACTTCCATAGTGATACCACCTCGGAAACCCAAGGAGGGGTCATTATGAGTCGGGTCTGACTTGATGGCACATAACAACAACAAATGTGCTAGTTGTCATGCATTTGTGCCCAGATCATGAACTAAGATCTGAACTACATTAAGGTTGGAGACTGATTGTGGATGCAGTGGGCATATCTGTACAGCTTTAGGCCATTCAGGAATGTTCTGTGGATGTGTAATGTCATGACTGAGTGTGGAGTGCATCTATTTAAATTGTAGAAAATACTCTGGGCTCTCAATAGGTCCCAGCAGCAAATGAAATGTGTGTTTACATATTCAGGGCATATAGAAGTTATGCACACATTATAGTTGCACAAGAACATCAAAGATTTATGCTCAAATGCCTCTGGCTTCTACAAGGGTTCTAAAAGAATGTTGTGGGGGGATCTAGTTTGGAACTTACAGGAGCGGCTCTGGGCCCTGGAGATGTACTTCGGCAATGGCACACTGGCCACAGAAAACAACAGCCCATCCTTCTTCCTGTTCCAGTCTGTGCCCCGCCCACACCTGGCTGGGGGCATGTGGGATAGTGAGAGACTGCAAACCTTGCAGGCCCAGTTCATGCAAGTTCATGCCAGCCAGCAACACCTGCAACAGCAGGTAGACAACTTCACTCGGAGTCCAGGTTTGGCTTGTCCCCTATGGTTGGAGACTTCTCAGGGGAGGGTGGGGAAGGAACTGCTTGTTCATGGGCAAATTGGTCCTGATTGGGCACTAACCCCTTTCCCTATCATGGGGGGCTTCCAACACCCTGACCTGGCCCAGTCCTCAGGGAACCGAGGCAAGGTATGGGAGTCATGTGGGGCAGAACCATGGGTGGCTGCAGAGTCTGGGAGATAGTCAGATTAGGAACCAAGGAACAAAGGCCTCTGACCAAACAAAGTGTGACCTCCCAAGCCAGAGGCTGGAGCAACCAGACAAGACCAGGTCAGAGTCATGAAGTCCCAGACTGATCCAGAATGTTTAGATGGGTGGGTAAAGCACAGATGCTGGGTTGAGTCCTAGGACACTCCCATGCATTGAGACTTAGGTCCATGGCTGGAGAGAAAGGAATTAAGGATCCCATGCCAGTTGAGATGCTGTGGGAACCTTAGAGGTAAGAGGACAGCTGGAACTGCCAGATGGAAGCAGGTTGGCTTAGATGATGGGGCTGCAGGCAGGAGAAAGTGAAATCAAAGGTGGAAATGACAAAATCCCCCTCCCTTCACCCCTCTTGAGGCCTTGCAACTGGGCAAAGTGAGATTTCACCCTTTATTCCCCTGGCCTGACCCCAACCTAGAAGGTCTTAACCCTGGGCAATTTGGACAAAGCTGCACTAGGGACTTAATTGTTGCTGCATTCAAACTATTATATAGGAGCTTCAGAATTCATTGCTCTGGCCCCTCTGTATGGGGTGATCTGGGACTCAGCATTATGATGTCATATCCAGGGTCCTGCTGACCAGAGCAAGTCCTGGACAAAGGGCCCAGGACAGCAAGTCCCTCCAGAGCTGCAGAGCTGGAGGTTGCAGCCCTCCAGTGGTCAAAGATGAGGCTGGGTTGGATGCACAGCTGTGGGGTAGATAGAATCAATGCCAAGGTTAATGGACATTCCATGCAGTGACTGAACAAATGTCCCTACCAGCATTGAAGTGTGCAGGAACTCATTTTCCACCAACAGGAAGAGGTCCTTCACATAACCTCAGGAGCCTCCTCAGGCTTGTTTGGCTCTGTAGTCTTCTGACAGTTCCAGGGATACTCAAGGTTTCCAAATCCTCTTTCCTAACATCTGTCGCTCTGAAGAACTGACAGCTCTCAGGCTGTTGACCGCTAGTTACAACTAAATGTCTGGTTCTTTCCAAGGTCTTTTTCTTATAAACACCTAGGGGGTGGGCTACTGTTGTCCAAACCCCAGCAATCTGGCTGAAGCTCCTGCTGCCTACACTGGATGGGTTAAACCTCCAGATATGGAACCTGGGTGCTCTTGGGAAGGGGTAAAGCTCTGGTGCCCCAACTAGCCTGGATTCCATGTGTTTCCCTTGTAGAGCTGTTCCGGGTCAAAGGTGAACGAGGCTTTCCAGGTAGGTTCACTTTCCCCTGAACTGTCCTGCTTTCCCACAACCTCATCATTGACAGGGAGTGGGCAACTGGTTGTGCACTCCTGGGATTCCATGTGTAACTCTAGCTTACCATTCGTTGGTTTCCACAGCCTCTTCCACAACTCTTTTCCACCTCAGTCAGGTGTCCTCTCTGTTCACTAACCACATTTCAACTCCCAGCTTCCCTGCCTTTGCTTGCCTCCTTGCATGAAGTATCTTATCCTTCCACCCCAACCCATCCAAATCCCAGCCACCTTCCAAGGCTTGTCCAAGTGCTATCCTCCACCACACACACCCTCAGCCTTCTCCAGTTGTCCCAGCTGCAAGCATAGGCCATCTCTTTTTATGACCTATAAGCACATTTCCCAGGTGCACTGATACTTAGTGCTTATCACTCCATCAGCTGTATGGCTTGTTTCTCTTAGAGGGTGATAATGATATGGGGAGAGAGAGGTTATGTAATATAATGGGAGAAGCAGGCTGTGGGATCAGACTGGTCTGAGTCTAATCCTAGGTCAGCTGCTTACTAGCTGTGTGACTTTAAGCCAGTTACTTAACTTTCCTGGAACTTCAATCACTCATCTCTTTAGAAAATAATAGAGATAATTTTACTCACCTCACAAGGTTGCTGCAAGACTCAAGAGATTTATGCAAAAAATATCTGACATAGTAGCTCCTCTCTGAGGACAAAGCCTGTGGCTTTTTTGCCTTTTCCTTTTTCCTCAACACACACGTGTGCATGTGCACACACACACACATGCTTGCACACACATGTACACATGCACACATACAAACAACATACACATGCACAACCATGTACACACATACACATATGTACGCACACATGCACACACACTTCACTCACAACTGTATTACATTTGATGCAGCTGATTGAAATTTAACCCTGAAAATGAATGTAAATGACATTCTTAGGATGAAATTCATTGGTTCCATAAATTTTCAAGTGTGGCTTTACACTCCATTTTCTCCTCTTTAAGTGAGGTTAATCATACAGCCTCATAGGATTGGTGTAAGGATAAAATGAAGTAAAATATAAAATGCTTAATTCAGTGCTCTGCATAAAGTACCCAATCATGTTACTTATTATTGTTATTTATTACTTCTTATTTACCACCATATTGTTGTTTCTCAGATGTTGGGAAGACTGAATAAGAAAATGCCTGCATAGTACCCAACCTGATGCATGTGTGTTCCTCCCCTCCAACAAGAGATTATTCCAACAACTTCCATTACATTAGTGACACAGCCTACATTTAAACCATTTTTCAACCTTGACCTTTAAAATATGCTCATCACCTAATCCAGGCCAAGCTCTTGGACCAGACACAGCCCACCTCACCCCCAGTGTGTGTGTGTGTGTGTGTGTGTATATACTAGTTAGCATTCAAATGCCTTAAGCTCTATACCACCAGAAAACCAAAAACCAAACTCATTGCTGTCAAGATTTCCCGACTCATAGTGACCCCTCCTTGGGTTTCCAAGGCAGTATCTCTATGGAAGTAGATTGTTCAATCTTCCTTCCAAGGACTGGCTGGTGGGTTTGAACCACAGCCTTCTGGTTAGCAGTCAAATGTCTTAGGCACTATACACCAGAGTTCCTGTATTATATATATATATGTATATATCTAATCTCCAACTCTGTTTTTTCACATCTCTCTCAGCTCTGTCTCTACTTCTCTCAGGACCTCAAGCTCCACCTTTGTGATATGGGAGCCAGGACCTCTATCCTACGTGCCAGGATAGGAAACACATGGGAATCATGTGAGCACCTGTCTACAAAACCATACAGAACTACAATCAAATTATAACAATGATACTTAACATCTATCCAGAGATTGTTGCATATATTTTCCAAGATGGGTGTCCACATGGTGACCTCAGCACAGCCCTGTGTAACTGGTACATTAACTCCATTTTATTGATGAGGAAGTTGATGTAACTTGCACAAGGTCATAGAACTCAAGGGCTGGTGCTAATCTTTGAACTCAGGTCTGTCTGACTCCATCTGTCTTGGAAGGCATCTTCCATACTATTGCTTTCGACTGGCTAGGCCATGAATTTATTGCAGGGAGAAGTTCTTTCTTTTTTTCTTTCATCCTGGATGTTCAGTGAACATCTGTTGAATGAATGACTATGTGAGTGAGGGAGTAGCATTGTCACACCAATGAGTTATCAGTATCTCTACTCCTCTTCATCAGGTCTTCCAGGTCAAAAGGGAGCCCCAGGCATGCCTGGCATCCCTGGCCTTCCAGGTCCACCAGCTGAGAAGGGAGCCAAGGGGGCTGCAGGACGTGACGGAGCCACAGGTACTGACCTCTGTTTCCTGGTCCCATTAATCATATTTCTCCTTGGCCAGGCAACACTCTGAATCATCCTCTTTTCCTTTCAGGACCCCAAGGCTTACCAGGAATCAAGGGACAGGCAGGTGAGTAGGAAATGAACAGCAAATGTTCTCAGAGTGGGCGCAGTGGGCTTCTAAAAGACCCACTCCCAGAGTCTGTGTGTGAGGGGTGTCCACCCTTCAGAGGATCTTAGGTGTGCTTCAGGGGAAGGGCTAAAAGCATTACATCTCAGGAAGGGCAGGGCTACAATCAAGCCTCAGAGGCTGTGACAGCCAGAAGCCAGCCTGAGAAGAGCTGGAGGTGTGCATGCTCTAATTTCCTTCAGCCCTGGAAATCCAAGCCTGGACCCTCACTTGTAAAAGTCCAGATCCTTGGTCCTGAAAGCTCTCTAGTCTGAAAGCCAAATCTGCTTCCATCACAAACTAGCTCTGTCACAGTCGGGAATATTCCTTTGCTTTTCTTAACCTCAATTTGTCTATAAAATGAGGATGAAGGTGCTTCAGAGTGCTGTTGTGCAGATTAGAGAGAATGATTTAAAGCACATGATTATGGCTGAAAGAGTATTTGTTTCCTTCTTTTAGTCTATAGCCTAGGTCTGCCCAGCATGTTACAAATGGCTATGACACGTTTCATTCAGTGTGTGTGGGGGACCCAGAGCTGTCCCCCCTCAGGGGTAAAGAACCAATATCAGAGCCAGTTGATTCTTACAGTCCACTTCACCCCACTCTGTTCTGGTCCATTGCATTCCACTCTCCATGTACAGCCTTCCAACTTCTAAATTCCTAGAGGCTGCTGAGAAGTAGATTCATAGACAATAAGACCATTACTAGAAAAAGAGCAGATGAGAAGATATGCAAGAAAAAGGAAATAAAAAAATCAACTATCTTTAGGACATTGAGGAGTCTGTAAGCCTGCAGGCCACTGAGGCAGAAAATACCACCAGTTATAGAAATCCCATACTTCTATAAAGGAAACTTGTTAGGGGAGAAAATCTTTTTGAGGAACTCATTTTTGGAGGAAATTTAATAGAAGAGATCCCAAAGAGTCTATTGTTCTAAGTCTTCAGCAGGGGTTTTGAAAGGAAGACCGAGGTTTGCCATGAGGTGGAGGAGTGGAGGGGATAGGGGGTGCTGATGAGGAAAGGAGAGGAGAGTTTATGGTAGTGTGAGGGCATGGATGTTCTAAAGGAGAATATACATGGCCCTGCAATACATACATGCATTCAGGCACCTCCCATACACTCAAACACATGCACTCATATGCAAACACTAACATGTGCATGCACACTTTTGCACACCCATCCTCATACCCATGCAGTCATGCATGAACACACACTCATGTGCACACTCATATACACACTTGTGCATGCACACACTTGTATTCATGCACACACGCATACACAAGCAGCTTCACACACATGCACTGTTGTCCACACACATTTCTGTACAAACACACTCACACACACACATACTCACATGTGCGTGTGCACACACACATACTCCAGGGAGCCGGTCTGTGGGAGCTCAGAGCAGGGCAGGGTCACTTGGAGAGAGTGAGTCACCCTTGTTTCCTCCTCTTTTCTCCAGAGGGAAAGGGAAGCTGACTGGGTTCCAGTAAACTCAACAGACATGGTGCTATAAAGTCCAACTTGAAAGTACAAGCCAGCAACCCTGGCATGCTGCCTTCCAAGCAGCTCCTCACTTCCTGTGAGAAGGAACAGAGCCCCGAGTCTCCCCATCTTTTCAAATTCTGATGGTCATTTACACCGGACTGGCTCTAACAGAGGGCTCCTGGTCTGGAGGAAGGACTCAGAACAGAGTTGTGTAATCCCACTGAATTTGGGCAACCCTTTCTTTAATCAAATCTTACATGTAACCCAAATGCCCAAAATAGATAGAAAGAAGAAGGCTTCAGTCATCCCAATAAGGAACATTGTGGTCAGAGACCCATCTGTGGTCTTCCCACTCTGTCCACTGCCTTTGGGTAATATTGGCACTCTGAGGAAGAGCCATGTAATTCAGAAACTCCCTGCAGTACCTCTCTATCCCCTCCCCCATCCACCTTTCTCTCCTCTCTCTCCCCTACTGGATCCCCCATTTCCCCTTACCCTCAAGGTCTGGGTTCTGTCCCTCTCCCACAGGGATACCAAGCCCTCACAGTCTCCACTCCACTCTCCAGTCCCTAAGTCCCATGCTATGTGGAAGGGAGCCATTGTTTCTCAATTCCATTCTTGTCTGGGACACTGAAGCATTAATTATGCACCTGTTAATTATCATCCCTATTTTACAGATGCAAAAATTTAAGTGGAGTATTTAAATGACTTCTCCAAAGTCATCCAGACTGCTGAGTGGTGGTAGAGCTTGGAATCAAACCAATGCTAAATCCTTTCTTCCACAACTATGCAAGATGCCATTCTTAGGAATTATTCCCTGCCTTGGGAATAAAGCAAACACTTCCTGGGACTGCCAGGGACTTAATTGTGTGTGTGCATGTAAAAGAGAAAGAGATTGAAAAAGAAAACAGAGATACAGAGAGTGCGATCTCTCTGCCTGACTCTCCCCACTAAGGACGGGGGCTGGGCACCTTGCCCAAGACAAGGCCTCTAGCATGTTGGCTGACTCAGGACCTAGACCACAAGGACTGAGATTTTTCCTTCTCCACAGGCCTCCAAGGACCCACAGGAGCACCAGGGAAGCCAGGAGCCACTGGTAACTGCACTTCTACCTCCAGATGAATGATGAAATGGCCAAGGCCATGAGCCAGTGCCTGCCAGAGTCAAGTCTCTCCTTTCCACAGCCCCACCCTGGCTCCAGGGGGGTTAACGTTTTCCTTATAGTCCTCTTCTCTTGATTCACATATCTGTGGAGGAATCAATAGGGTCTGAGAGATGTCATCAAGACTATCAAGAGATGAACCAACACTTCCCCTAATTCCTCTAGGACCCTCTTCCCTTTTCATCAGAACAGTCCCTGCCCCATTACCTGGAAGCCTGTCCCCAGGAAGGACAGGAGAAGATTACCCCATTGGCTTCTTTTCCTAGGTATCCCAGGACCTCAAGGAGAGAAGGGCAGCAAAGGTGAAAGGGGTTTCATTGGCTCAAAAGGGGAAAGTGGAGCTAAAGGAGACAAAGGAGACCTTGGCCTCCCAGGTAAGGCTTAAAACCCAAACCAAACTCACTGCCATCAAGTCATATCCGACTCATAGTGACCCCTCCTTGGGTTTCCAAGACAGTATCACTATGGAAGTAGATTGCCTAACCTTCCTTCCAAGGAGTGGCTGGTGGGTTTGAACCACCAGCCTTCTGGTTAGCAGTCAAATGCCTTAGGCACTATGCCACTGGGCGCTCTGAGGAGGCTGTGTCCTCACTCTGTGCACAGGATCAACTCAGTGCACATAGAGGCCACGACAGGGCTTGTCTGCAGGGGTCCTAGGGATACCAGATGTTTTTCTTCAAGAAAAGAGTCCTTATGGGGGCATATTAGTCATCCTAAAATATTTGAAAGGCATTTGTGGGAGAGAAAAAGACTAGTTTGTCTGGTTCCCAGCAGAAGAATGAGGACCAATTATGCTGAGGTAAGGAAAGAATAGTTTAAGTATGGATTGACCTGTAATGAAATGGTGACAGCCCATTTACTGGGGCCACAGAATTCTTTTTGGCAGTCCTGAGGAAGGAATTCTCTCATCAGGAAAATGATTGGACAGTTGACCTCCAAGGATTGTTCTAAAGCTGACACCAGGCAGTTTTCTTTGCAGATGGGTGAGGAAGTCCAAGCTTTCTTCAGACTCTCTCCATCCCAGAGAAGGGGCCACCCTTTGCCCTCAAGTTCTTTGCCTTCTGAGTCTGTGCCATCCTGTCTCCCATCCCATATTCACCCATGGCTACAAGGAGGTCATAGTGTCCCCACCCAACTCAGACATGGAAATGCACTTGTCGACCAGGGGAAATGTAGCAGTTTCAGGTCTTTATAAATCATTACTCCACCCTATCATCTTCCCAAATTTCCTTTCCCACATTTACAAGCTCTCTCTTACCAACTGCTTGCCCATCCTGTCTATGGGGCTCAACAAAACCAAGTAAAACCTGGCCCTAGTGGGACTGTAGTTCTATCCTCTTCTCCCCAGCAGGTTGGTAATGCTATGATCTGGTGATTTCCAGGGTACAAGCTTACTTTCCTCACTCCACCTTTTAGCTATGATTGGGAAGTTTTGAAGAAACTGTGACTCCACAGTTGGAACCTGAGCTTGGGCCTTTCACTGATATGATCCTGCCTTCCTTCCCAAGATTGTTCCCTTTGATGCAGACATAGAAGTAATAAGCACACAGATTCAGGCCCAGACCTTCATATAGCCAATGAAGCAATTGCCATAACTTAATGGTTCTGGCCCAGAGCAACAGGGCAATAAGCAATGTCTGTAGTTGTTGGTGTTATTAGCTACCATGGAGTTGACTCCAACTCATGGTGACTGTATGGATAATAGAATGAAACACTGTCTGGTCCTGAACCATCTTCATGATGATTGACATGTTTGAGTCCAGTCACACAATGCAGACTTGGTGGCACAATGGCTAAAGTGCTCATCTGCTAACCAAAAAGTCAACGGTTGAAATTACTAGCCACTCTGTGGGAGAAATATGTGTCAATCTGCTTCTGTAAAGATTTACAACCTTGGAAACCCTATGGAGCCCTTCTACACTGTCCAATAGGATTATTGTGAATCAGAATTGACTTGATGGTAGTGGATTTTGGTGGTGGTGTTGTTGTTGTTATGTGCCGTCAAGTTGGCCCCAACTCATAGTGACCCCTCCTTGGGTTTCTGAGGCAGTATCACTACGGAAGTAGATTGCCCCATCTTCCTTCCGAGGAGTGGCTGGTGGGTTTG